TATATATATATATAGTAGTAGTGTAGTAGTAGTAGTAGTAATAATAGTAGTAGTGGTAGTAGTAATAGTAGTAGTGGTAGTAGTAGTAGCAGTAGTAGTAGTAGGAGTAGTAGCACTAGCAGCAGCAGCAGCAGCAGGAGCAGCAGTAGTAGTAGTAGTCGTCGTCGTCGTGGTGGTGGTGGTGGTAACAGTCGCAGCAGCAATAGTAGTAGCAGAAGTAGTCAGTAGTAGTGGCCATTCTGACTGAAATGCGGATGTCGTTCAGAGGTCGTTTTTTCGCCGAGAAATCTGGCCAATTACTGTCCATCGAAAGTGAGCAGCAGCAGCTGCAGCAGCTGCAGCAGGAGCAGCAGCCGCAGCAGCAGCAGCAGCAGCCGCAGCAGCAGCAGCAGCAGCAGGAGCAGCACCAGCAGCAGCAGGAGGAGCAGGAGGAGCAGGAGGAGCAGGAGGAGCAGGAGGAGCAGGAGGAGCAGGAGCAGCAGAAGGAGCAGGAGCAGCAGGAGGAGCAGGAGGAGCAGGAGGAGCAGGAGCAACAGCAGGAGCAAGAGGAGCAAGAGCAGCAGCAGCAGCAGCAGCAAATAGTACGTTGTTAAGGAGGTCGTTCCAATGTCGTTTTGGATGTCGTCCGGAGGGTCGTTCCCCAACTAAATAACATATTCCACAAAGACAGAAAACATCATAAATAGCTGCGGCGGTGCGTGGAATTCTGAACGAAGGATCCCACAATACTACTTTACATCAATCCACCTTTTTTTCTGGCTGAATTGGAGCCTAACCGCAATGTCATATTAATTAAGAAGAAATCCCACGCCACACCAAGGAGGCCTCCCCTTTGAATTATCTAAAGACCCCCACCTTTATTGATAACTCGCTAACAAGCCTCCTCCAGCTCCCACAAGACAAAACTCAAGGTAGCCTTTCAGAAGCTGCTTTTGGTGGTAATTTATATCTTCCGTTTATAGTGTTTTTTTGAAAACTGCAAGAATACACTATATTTTGTAATAGTTCTTTCGTCTGGCCACTCTCGCATCTATACATGCGAGCATCGTTCAAATCTTGCATTGGTCACAAAAATTAAGATTCTGGATTCGCGAATCAACCAACAAAGACTTCAACAAAACACTCGTGCGAGGGATGAAACCTGAAACTATGGGCCATGCAAGTGGCGATGTTGGGCATCGCCATGTCCCAGCGCAGCTTCCCGCGCTGGTGCTGGGCCCATTGCAAACTTTGCAAACGTGTCCTTCGAGTGACAGCAACTTGACACGACCCACATCACAACGCGTCGGTCTTCAGGTTGAGCTGTCCAGCTGAATTACAACCAAACGCCACCAAAGAACCATCCCTCTTCACCTCGATTCGATATGAGAGATGCGTGTTCTTATTTCTCACACCAGATTGTAAATGTCTACCATGCACTTCAAAGCACGCAGACCAAGTGCGGCCGAGTCACAGCACAAGTGTGAAATGCTCCAGCCTTCACATCGATCACTAGGTTCTTTAAATCTTCTGGGACAGAGCATTGGCCGAAGGACGGATCGCCAAAGCATACCAAAGTCCCATCCTCCTGGCTCTAGTGGAGCATGGTGGAGCGGAATACACTCACCAACCGAGTCGAGATCCAAAAAAGGCTGAGTTCAATCAACATTCAGGTATTCCGGTTGAATGACAATGTGTGTGTGCACTCCACTTTCCAGTCTCCTGAAGGGCACAGGTGTGCCGCTGTCCAGCAGAGACCATCGTCACCTTCTTCAACTTGGCCGGAACTTTGCACTGGCCGAAGCTGTTGTCGCCAAAGCAGCGCAATTCGTCGCCTTCTCTGGTCTAGGAGAATGACAAGAAGAGGGATTTCAAGGCCGTCAAGAGGAAAGAACATGTACTTAGGGTCTTCACAAGTTCAGTCGGTATACAATTGAATTGAGCAACCCAAGCTGCTACGAGAAGCTTGGGGTCCCAAAACTGATTCAGGCTCCTGCTCAATCAAAGAGCACTAAACAATAAGAATACCTCTTTCCTTGACTTCGCTGCCAAGAAGCTCTGAGTAATCACACATGTGTGGCTCCCACCAGCTGCAACAGCCTTCACGGGGACATCCTCCAGGTCTTTTGGCACATCGCATTGTCTGGATTTGTTGCTTCCAAAGCATCTTAGTCTGGCCAACTCAGGTGTGGCTCCCACAATCACACAGGTGTGGCTCCCACCAGCACTCACACTCTGCACAGGAGCCAAGTCTTCAGGCACATTGCACTGCTGAGCATGATTCCTGGGCTCAATTATATAAGCTGAACCAAAAGCAATAGCACTGGCCCGTTTATGCTGGCATTTCACTTAGACTGTAACTTGTAGATCCTAAAGCATCTCGAAGGGCACCACACAAACGACAAACAGCACTGTACTGCAGTCAAGATTCTCTCCGAAGCAAAAAAGCCGCCCTTCTTCGTTGACCACGCAGCTATGTTGTTGCCCTGCTGCAATCAGTATCACTTTGCCGAGGCCCTCTGGCACGTCACATTGCTGGCACTCATTTGATCCAATGCATTGCAGCTTCCTTGTCAGTCTATTTTGCGATGGCCCAAAAACAAATGCAACACCAACACTAACAACAGCATCGAAATGTCAACATGTAAAAGGGACCAAAAACCAAAACCGACTGCGTGACTGCGTTGGTTTATATGATTCTACGGCATCCTTTGCACTTCTCAAGCTCTCTTGCTCAAGCACACAGCTGTGGAGGCTTGTGTGGGGAATCTCACGGGGCCACAAAGTCTCAAATCCCCACGCGCAAATGTGGGCTGCTTTAGAATAATCTAGCCTATAACATTGTACAACTGTTCTCACCTCCGGTCGATGCCACACGCTAAAAACGTGCATTTCAAGAGTCCCTTCACTCAGCAACATGACATGGTAGTGCCCGGCTGCCACCATGTCCGCAGTGGTTGCTTCGACTTCAATGCCCCTGCCAAAGACTCGTGGCTGACTCTTTTCCAACACCTCAAATCTTTGGATGGCAGGCGCAAAGCTACCAAATAGTGTTCGAGTTCGATTTCTTCAGCTTCGTGTGATAAAAAGAACACCCGAACGCCTGATTTCTGGAGAGACTCGAGACTCAGCGAGACCTCCAAACCTTCCTAAGCGATCCAAGGTGCGCAAGTGAAGTACATGCCCGGAGCCAGCATCATCCAGCAATGCGGTTGGTTATTTGATGACGCGGTTGGAGCAAAGGCTGCAGGATCAGCATCTGTCTCTGTGGGTGGACTTCCATGCTTATACCTTGTATCCTTCACTTCGCACTCCACCCTCTATCACCTCATCGGACCATAGTAAAAGGCCAGGTATATAAGCCAATAAAGAATCGCTGTATTGATAGGTTCAAAACTTCAAACCTTTATGATGCGCATTCAAACAGCTTGTTGTTCAATGTCCTTTACATACTTGAATCAAAGTCAAACCCACGGCAATATTTTTTCATTGCACGCCGCCCTTCAGCTGGTATCCGTCTTCACTGCCTGCGGTCAATGAGCGTTGTGGGAGATTGAACCTCCACCTTGAGGCATGCCATGTTATCTTAGCACGACTGCACGACAAAGCGCAGGCCATCGCACATTTTTGGAGGCCATTCTCAAGCCGCATCTAAACCACCTGGATAAAAACAAAGACCTGTGTGGAGGATCACAAAACAGGTGTCCCAATTCCATAGGCATGGTTTCAATGATTTCTTGACTTTGTACGACTCTGATGCTGTGAAACACCTGTCTGCATTGCTACTCATTCCAGCCTATGCGTCGCAAACGACTGAACTGCACCAGGTTATTGTTTGAAAACTGCCCTCGCATAGCTGTGAAAGGACATATCTTTGATGACTTCGCTCCATTTCTCTTGCAGTCTCAATCTTTTCATGAGTTCCTATGCATTTCAACTGCAATCTGTATCAATGTCCAAAATATGCATTATGTGGACTATTCGAAAGGTCTCAGTAGAGTTTGTCATCCTGGATTCGTCGGAGCTTCTAAGGGACCTGGGCTATGGGCAATTGGCAAGCCAAACCTTCATTGTAATGATGCGGCTGGGAACCTCTACATTAGGTTGGAGGCCATCGCTCTTTGGATGGAGGCCATCGCTTCTAGGTTGGAGGCCATTGCTTTTAGGTTGGAGGCCATCGCTCTTAGTTTGAGAACATCTACAGTAAAATCAAAACCTTTTGAACCTCTTTCAACTCTCGGGAGAAGTACAAAGCCTTGTGTAGCGAGGTTTTGCTACTGTCGGAAATTCTTGGGTCAGGACAAATACTTATGATGCACGGCTTTCGAACTCGTTCATGCCCAAAAACCTGAGGGTGCGACTGCAATTCGTTTTGGGCCGGGGTGAAACTCAAATCATGCGGATCTGCACATACTAAATCTTCTGACAGGGTGGACAAACGTCAAATTAATTGCCTACATTGTTTTGGGAAAGCTGGGCTGTGAGGCAAGCATTCTGCAATTCGGACTGATTCACTCTTCTTTGCTTTTGATTTTAGCAAACCTTCACAAAAACTTGGCAAGCGCATCCCCAACCATGAGCCAAGCAACTCATCCATGGCGGATTTGATACCGCCCTCAATTTCTGGGGTGATTTGCTTCTTCTCCATGATCTCCTTGCCAAAGCAATGAGTTGAAATCGCCATGTTCAATGTGAATGACTACTAAATGGCTTCCCATGAATCGATCATGTTTAATGGTTTAATGTTCCAACAAAATTGCACACAACTGTATTCAGGTGACACGGTTGACTCATTGAGGCTGTTTGTAGCATCAAAACCTTCTACCTGGCTCTGGCCGCACTGAAGTTTGGGTTTGAGGAAGTGGATCATGTCCAGTCCAATACCCTTTCTGGTCGAAACAACTTATCTCTTGCGCATACTCTGCCAAGGCCTTCCACACAACTTTGCGGTTTTTCCGATACCGTTTACGTTGCTGCAAGGATCCATCCAACCACTCACTCTATAAAACTTGTTCACGTAATGCTCTAAGTTTATTTTGAGTGTACCCAAATCATGCTTGCGCTTGCACTGCGAGCTTCTATTAGAAAACAAATGAAATGCTACAATCGCCGCAGCACTACCAGCACTGCATCACTCCACACTTCCCAGCATATATATGCCCAATCCCAAAACACGTACCATCGTTTGGCTAGAGACAGGTAACCACGTCACTACCATCTTTTGCTGAGCAGTTGGATTCAACTGCTAAAGAACAGTAATGCACGTTGCAACCTTCTTCATTGCTCTCCTTGAGGATGTCGCCACGAGTGTCCTTGAAGTGTTTCAGCCAAAGTGCTTCAAATCGCAGGATTTCCTTGGTCGCCACCTGCCAACAGATTGGAGAGACGATTTGATGCATTCAAGCCTGGAGCTGTCATGGTTTGTGAGCAGCTGAAAGGCGATGCCTTGTCCAGGTAGCCACGGGTGCCCGCCCAAAGGGACACAATGATCTCTGACGTTGTCATTGGCACGAACCTGAAGTGCATCGCATCAAAAACCAAGCGAACGGCTGCAGCCAAGCTTGCTTTCTCTTGCTGTATTGAAGAGGTTCCACTTGGCGAACGGCTGTTTCTGTTTCAGCAACTCAGTGAGGATGCCACCTGCAATCGAACCGCTTAAAGAATCACTCTTCGCTCCAAACTACCAAAAGCACTAGGAATCCTGAAAAAGGAACCGTTCACTCTAGCCACTGCTGCAGGGCGAGAGGGCCCAGCATGCGAACATGGTCAGCATGACAGGATGAATCACGACAACTGAGTATGTTGGACTGACATGATCTGCAGAAGTCCGCACTTCTTCAAGCGATGCCTCGCAGCAGCTGATGCTGTGTTGCAGCGTCCAGGTCAGAGCCGAACTGAGCAAAGGCAGCGACCTGGGTAGTGCTGTAATGAACACTCTCAGGAATGACGGTAACCATGCTCAATTCCTTTTTCGTCTAGGAATTGTTTTGTCCTTGCCCCTGTCTGTTACTACTATGTGTTACCAGTTTCTTACCCGATCTTCTTGCTGCTACCCTGCCTCTCCTACCCTAAGACCCCCCAAAAACCAGGCCTCACGGTACTGCGCCAACTCCAACTTCAAGGTGCCAGCCACCTGCCAGTGGGAAGAGCACAGTGAAAATTGACGAAACCAGCTCTGTGATCATATACAGTTGGTACATGTTTGCACAAGCGTCCTAAGCATTCGACATCTCTGTTGCTTCACCAAAAGTGTCAATCCCAACACAGTGCCCAGCTTCTAACCATCTTTGGTCCAAGAAATCGCCTGCTTCATGGCCTTAATCTGGGCCGCACTGCCGACACCTTGGTCCCGACTGGCATCGGCTCTCTTGCAAGTCTTACATAGTAACAGGGCCTTCTGGTAAGGAGTTACCGGCCAATGGAACGATTGGGTTTGCATAACTTTCAACAACTGGCACAACAAAAGTGTGTGTGTGTGGGAAGTTTGTCTTGAGCAACCTTTTGGGACGTGCACCATCCAAAGGATTTGGAGCCCTCAATTGTCCTCTTTGAGACGGAGTGTTTTAGTATTTTTAAGACATGGGCGTGACAATGGTCGTAAATACATTGAGCGATATTCTACAAGGAATGAGCTTGAAGGTGAAGGAAGTACAAGACTTGTTATAAAGTAAGGTCTTCACCAGCATGTATATAGTATGAAAACCATTATTGTTTCCAAGTCACAACGGCATTCTATCTGCGTTGTTCAACACTGACGTCACGTCTCCGGCCATGAGTGCCAAGTCGCGGCTCACGGAGAGGCCGACATTCACCGCAGGGCGGATTCCCTGCCAGCTAAAGATGCTCAAGGAGCTCTTCCAGCCTTCCTTGGAAACCTAACCAAATTATACCAATTTTAGCATCCCCAACTTCCACAAGATTCTTTCAAGCTCTGCTGATCCAATTTGGAGGTGAGCTTCTACCAAAAGCCTCCTCTAACCCTTTCATTGTGAGCCATTGGGCATCTTGGCCTTATAGAAAAGCTCTGTCTCCAAGAAGATCTGCCCATCTGTGATGGAGATGACCTCATCGGCATCAAGGACCTAAAGCTGGTACTAGCCTGATCCAGGAGGATGCTCTGCTCTATCGCAACAAAGAAAAGGAGACATCTTGCAAATGCAAAGCCTCATGATGTCTGATGACGCAACTTCTTCCCTCCCAGCTAATCATGATGACAGAGCTTCTCTCATCTGGGTATCCAAACATTGGTGGGAATGTAGGCACTCACATCCCCGGCTTGTGTCTCAATCACGGGCAAAGCAGTGAGCGAGCCACCGCCGTGGGTGACCTGACAGCCGAAATACGGCTTCAATGCACAGCTCGATGTGGCAGTTCTGATGACAACGGATTTCCAAAATAGGACCATCTGCTTGAGAATACCCGCTTTCAATCCGTGTTCACTCCTTCTTCGCTCGGTGTTGAGGTCGTGTTCAAACTTGCTGTGCACCTCGTTCATCTTTGCTGCTCGCTCGAGAAGACGAGAGTGCAAATAGAAGACGTCACCTCCCAAACCCCATCGATTAGACTGCTCATCACAGGTCCAAAGAATTGACAGAATACAAAGAGTTGGTCCTCACTTGTTTGCAACAAATTGAACGTTAATAAACTAGGCAAAGGGATGCAGTTCAGGATTTCAGTATGTACAAGCAGGCTAGAAGGACTTTAGACTTAAGACTTACAACCAGCTTCATCTCTGGCTCCTTGATCTTGTGCCCACCTGGGTAGGCCTCACGTCCGGGTGGCCGCCGCAGCAGCAAGGACATTTGGCCTTGGAAGATCTTGGAAGGCATGTGGAAGACATGCTTTTGGCCTCTTTTCCAGTGCCCCAGTGCCTCTCGGGAAAGTACACTCTAACTCTAACCGTTATCCAGCTCGCTGACGCTCAAGATCGCTCAAGTGCGTAAGAAGGGAGAACCGGGGACCGCGGACCAATGGAATTCTGAGCCAGTGACGGTAAGCCACAGCCTGCTTTGACAAATCATCATAGAAAATCACCTGCGCTGTGCAGTTGAGATCTGGCTTTGCGAAACACACAGGCTTTTGCTCTTGCGTCCATGACAACACTGGGACAGGTTAGACTCTCTGCTTAAAGAGGACCTGAGGCTGTGGCTGCATGCTTGCCATTGTCTCGGAAATACTCTGCCATGGCACAGCCAGTGTA